CACCCGCACATGTGTACCCTCTTTCGCCAATGTTTTCTTCTATGAGAGCAGCAACTCTCCCAGAAGAAACCCAATCTCTGTAGGCACAGAGTCACACAAAAAGTAAGCTAAGATTGCAAACATAAGCCTGCAGATAAGAAACATCAAAGTTAAAGTAGCACTAAGATTCTGGGCCTTCCCCAGCCATGGATTCTTAAAGGTACTTTACTGTTATCAATATTTACCTCTCTTATCAGGAGTGAGGGCCTTACTGTGTTCACTGTGCAAACATACAGAAAGCAAGATCCCTGCCTCAAAGAACTTTCAATCTAATTTATAACAAAGCTCAACAATTGTGTGGAGGAAAGGATTTTTGTGGAATGATTAATGCATTCCCCTGAAGAGCTGGCTGCACCGAAAAGGTTTTCGAAGTCTATCCCAATCATGCAGCTGATCCAAAAAAAGATCTCATGCCTCCTGCTTTGTAGCTCATGGGAGTTTATGTAACTCCCCCACCCCAGGCATGTGCTGCTGCTGCATCTCATCACCTCCCTGTCACATTGCTGGGTCCCAGGTAGGCAGACAGTAATCCTTTGTCTGTCTGTGCTGGGACAGAGGGGTTGGGGGTAAGGCTGGGGGGCAGCATGTTGGGAGGTGCAGTCAGGTGCATCAGGGTGTGGGGGTGAATAGGGAACCCTTGGGGTGGGGGCAGCGTGGTGTAAAATTGTAGCTGCAGTCAAGTAGGGTTGCCAAGCCAAGACATTTATTTTTTTTAAAGATAAACTTCAAAATTTTTACTGATCACCAAACTTCTTTTGTTTTTTAAACTATGGTTGGTGTTAGATCCCTAAATTTGAACCCAACCCTCAGCTACAGCCTGGCAGAAGGATTACATTTACATTATGTAAAATATACGGAGAAAAAAGGTTGGTTGTCAGTATAAAGTTTGCAGATTATCAGTAAAATTGTCTTGGATTGGCAACCCTGGTGCTTTGGGTCTAATGAGGGCTGTCTGGAGTCTAATGAAGGGTGCGTTGTGTCTGTAAAGGTTGAGAACCATTGTTTTAACCTTTTTGTTTCTTACAGGGTCACAATAATCAAGGGTATGCCTTATCTGTCTCCACAGCAATCCTGAGACCCCCACTAAGAAACAAGCTGCTCCCACTTGCTGAAAAAACATTTTGTGGTTGGATTTTGAAGTGTGTCCAAGGCCACACTCAGGAGCTCAATCTCAGGTGCACTCTTAAGAATGACACCTGGCATTGCTCTACAGGGAACCCCACCACGTTTTGCAGTATGTGGCATGTGCAGCGCAAGATCAAGCAGGTCAGATTTGGCTCTTGGTAGCTGTCTCAGGATCTCTACATAAATACAATAGGAATGCCCTGAATCGACCACAACTATGGAACCATTACTCCAGTGCTTGCACATCTTTAGTAAGTTTCAAAGCACAAATGCAAAACATACATTGTTCAGCTGTTTGCATCTGAGGTCCTGAGTACATATCTTAGTGATTCTCAACAAAGGTGCTGCGGCACCCTGGCAGGCTGCCAGACCTTGAAGGGTGCCAAGAGGTGTGGAGAGGTAAGCAAAGTGTTAAGAGATAAGCAGATAAGTGCAGGCTCAGGCTTGTCCCTGCCTAGCTAATGCCCCACCCCCACTGCCCAACCCCTCTGGAAGGGAGGGAAGCACTGTAATATATAAACTGGTTTTTGAAATTGAGTGCCATTTAAGTCACAAAAGTTATGGAAGGGGGCACTGAGTCCAGCAAGGGGTGCTTCGAGTCCAAAAAGAGTTGATAACCTCTGACACAGGCATATAGGACATTTATACATGTGCTCCAGAAGAGTGTGTGTATGTGGGTGGGTGGTGCTTTAATTAGATTGAGCTGCTCTAATTAAAGCTCTCAGTGTCATGTGCTTCAGTATTCCTGTGCTGAAAAATGGTGGCAGGGGCACTTTAACTAAAGCTCATCAAATGAGCTTTAGTTAAAGTGCCCATGCGGCCATTTTTTCAGCGCAGGGATGCTGAAACATGGGATGCTGGAGTCTGCTAGAGCATGGTAATTACCATGCTCCAAGAGACTCAATTAATTGAGTCTGCTCCAATGCACTGTAATTGCAGAGCATCAAAGCAGCCTTCCTACACGTGTATAGGTGTCCATAAATTTTATATATATACGAATATATATAAATTCATATTTCCTATTAAGAATGACTGGGGCAGGGGGAAGGGAGGGTGGAGCATTGTCACCCACAACCCTGCGTCACCACTGCCTCCCAGGAGTTGGGGGGGGAGGGGGGGGAGGAGTCTTGCATGGGGCAGCTGCTACCGCCAACCACCACTCTGCATCTGGCTGCACACAACCGCCACCTCCCCACTCCCCCCCGCATGACAGTTTGGGCGCCATGTTCAGTTTTTAGCTCTGGTAATCCATACTCAAATATGGTTTTTTACATGCAAATACTTATTTACGTAGATGCTGCATGCCTATGTGGTGTGTGTGTGTATGTGTGTGTGGGGGGGGCAATTATTTCGGGTGGAGGACCGTTTACCAAGTTTTGGCAAGCTGCTGAGGGCCGCATGGGTAGTCCTGCCCCTTGACAGGTGCCATGCCCCCCCTTTGGCCATCTTGGGACCAGAAGTCCTGCCCCTACCTTCTGACTTTTGCCACCAGAAGTCCCACCCCTTGCACCTGGAAGTATTCCTTTGGGGAAGAGGGTTTGCCATCTTAGGGAAAAAACCCTCAAATTATATACTAAAAATCAAACATCCATAATAATACATTTTAATTTAATTAAAAAAATATGTTTTTGTCCTGATTTGTCTGCGTTTGTGCTGTACATGTGGAAATGATTGCATAAGAGCTGCAAAATACAGTCTTAATCGTGCCTTGTGTGGAGGTGTGCAGGGGTGTCATGGGGGTATGGATGGGTGGGTGTGGGGTTTGTGGGGAACTGTGGGTGGGTGGGAGGAAATGGGGGTTTGTGGGGATGTGTGGATATGGTATTGAGGGTATGGGAGCCAAGTGGTGCAGAGTGGCCAACAGGTGGGCGGGAAAGTGGGAAAAGCGGCAGTGGGGGGAGTGGAAGTGAGCAGAGCACGGGGCCTGTGCTGGTGTTCTGGGGCCAGTGCCAGCGGGGGGCCAGAGCAGGCCAACAGGAGTGTGGGGCTTGGGCTGGCAGGGATACATGGAGCTGGGCTGGGCAGCCAGCAGGGAGAGAGGGGACCTGGCCGATGGTTTGGCGGCTTTGGTGCTCCTTCCTGCTGTGCGAGGCAGAATGGCCCTTTTAGCGCCTCTTGGCATGGAGGAGGAAGACAAGGTGGGCTCAGCTGCCACCGCCTTCTCCTTGTTGCCACACTCAAGGTAGTGCCACTTGCGGGAGCAGCCACTGCCACTGCAGTGCTTCCGCCATGCTCAACTGCTGCGCTCCGCCACCTCACGCAGCTGCCGCCGCTGGACCCTCACCTGCTGCTGTTTATGGCTGGCACGGGTGCCTCAGCCTAGCGTGAGGTGGT